GGTTTGGGAAGCCGAGTTATATGGTGTCTGGAGAGGTAAACGGAGGGAAATGAGCACGAGAATGCTGAAAGGAGAAAGGGATGTGGGCAAGCATTCTTTTCACTCAGGGATAAGGACATTCCCAAGCTGGCGAGAGCTACAGGCCTGTGTGTGGAGAAATACCTCCTGAGCACATTAGAAAGCTAATCCAGAAGCAGATTCTAGAAGCTACGTTTTTCCCGCCTTCTCTGAGTGTCAAGACCCATATGATTTTTAAATTATAGACTCTGATACAGAAAAACCTTGGTTTATTTATAGACAAAATGTTGTACTAGCTGGAAAAAAAACACAGGCATGGAAATTGAGGAATGATATACCTCATTAGATAACCTCTCTTCACAGAAACATATGCTTAATGCAAGAGCAGGGGCTCAGACGAAAAGTCACACTTATGTTAAATCATTCATATTATTTATGAGGTATGTTAACATGACATATGTACTAGTGCCATGTGACATTATTAAACCTCTTAAAAATACACTGAATTTTAGAAAGGATGACCAAGAACTTTGTACCTTAGAAGATCACAAAGCCATCGTCTAAGACTTTTATATTCTTAAAATCTGTCTCACTACATGAAAGAATCTAATCACAAAAAAAAACTGTCCTGACACCAGTCTAAGAACTGTGCTAGGATCTGTCCAGGAGGGGTGTTCTGCTACATGCTGTGCATGGAGAATGCACAGGAGTATCAGGCATTTCAGTTTAAGTGTGTGCTGTCTCAAGTAGGACAGTGATAAAGGAAAACTATCAACATACCAAAACCCCTAAAGTTGTCTGGCCCTCACAGAAGCTTCACGGAGGGTATGAGACAAGACTTCAGTAACAACACTGACTAGGGGAGAGTCTAGAAGCTGGACATATTCCACACTTTTGTTTTCATGCCAGTGTGCAAGCCTGTATTCACAGTACTTGGGAAATGAAAGCATAAAAATCATGAGGCAAGCCTTGGCTACATGGTGAGTTCAGAGCTGGCCTGATTCATGCATCAAGACCCTGCCTTAAACCCTAACCCTTGCTGAGAAAGAGAGGAGAGAGAGAGAGAGAGAGAGAGAGAGAGAGAGAGAACAAGTGTTCTCTCACATATGCATATCTCCCATCTAATCCAAACATAAAGCCTACTTTAGAAATTAGCACAGATGAAAACTGCACATTAACTGTGTCAAATAAAATGAATATCAACATGCTGTACGACATTTTAAAAGCCTGTGTTCCTCCCCTGCAGCCTGGGAAGCCATAGGATAAACCTCCTCTGACTCCAGCTTATTATGGCTGAATCAAGCATCCCTGCCCACAGCAAGTCCAGATGACTCACTGGTCCTTTCGAAGTCCTGGTTTCCCTTGTTCAGTCGGCACCTGCTCCCTTTGCCTCTGCCACCTTCGCCCTAGCCTACCAACTCAAACATTCTCTGACTGTCCTCACTGCTGACTTAAGCAGCCTGTGGGAAATTGCTAAATAAATAAATAAATAAATAAATAAATAAATAAATAAATAAATAAATAAATAAAAATCATCAGAACCGAGCCAGTTGGTTCGGCTGCTTTCACCACTCATGACTGACACATAGGGTGGGAACACTGAGATAACAGTAGACAAGGATCCCAATTGTCCTGGGGCCCTCAAACAAGGATCTCAAGAGGGGCAGAATGGCAATGACTCCCTTAGACTTCATAAGTGTCAACCTAGTGACCTATTGTCTCTGTCCCTGACCTTTATTTCCCATGGCAAGTACATGTTGGCCTAAACAGCCATGTAAGTTCAGTGACAACATAAGCCTGGCTTCTAAAGTCTGTCCTCATCTTTTAGGAGACACCCTCCCTCCTACACTACTGACCACATTCCCTTTTTCCTTCTGCCTCTTCAAGAGCAAATTCATGAAGCTAGATCAGTCCGAACTTCAGTGACACATAAGCATGTATCCATGTTCCATGAAGAAACCAAGCAGCCAGAAGAAAAATGGCAGAAACAGATAAAGTGGACAATGTCGCCCTTAACAGAGGAGGGAGATTAAGTTGAATGTTTCAATTTAAGTTTTTACATATGAGTTTAATTAGTTGTACTTTTTGAATCTAATCATTTTCACAAATATGAAGTAAAATCAAGAAGAAACAAACGCAGGGACATCTGGAGCTCCCAAGATGAGCAACTGAAATAAAGTCTCTCATCAGCCGATGCTTTCCTCCGGTATAACCAACAGTAACGTCTTTGTTGCAAGCATCTAAATGTTTAGGAAAGTCAAATTTATTTTCATTGTTCTTTCCTAAAAGTGCAGTCTTTTAGATCTTAAATTTCTATATAAAAAGTGTAAGTGATACAATAAAAGTGACTTGTTCCTGGGAGCACAAAAATTCATTATTTGCTAGCTATGGATGCTGTTGAAAAGTCTGGTTTGTAGCTCTCCCTTTGGCTGTGTTTTATTAAATAGCACTGTGTGATAGAAGAATTCAAAGTTATATTTTTCCAGAAGCTATTTGTTCTAAGGCAAAAAAAAAAAATAAAAAAAAAAAAAAAAAAAAAAAAAAGTCTTAGGTTGTCAAACATACTCCACAAACCTGTAGACTTCTTAATAAAAGAATGCAAAATAGGATTACTTTCCTTTGCTCATGTAGGAACTTCAAGGAGAGAAAAACCCATGGAGCTAGTAAAAAGAAGAGAAGTCACTGCACACCTACAGTGAGGCACTCAGGGCATGGCGCCTAGCTCAGCTTGCTCTTCCTGAATAATTTCATCCTTTCATCACACTCTGCAACATTTCTCAAGAGTACCTCTGTCTCCCACCCATTTTTATTTCCCTCTTTCCAAACATCTGACTCACCCACTTTTCTTCAACATCATTGAATAAGCCTCCCTTTCTACCCTGCAGCCCCCCTTCAATATCCATGGGAGAAGTAAGTGCTCTTTGAAGAGGAGCAGTGTGACCCGCTTCCCAGAAGGAACATGGAGCACACACAATAAGGGGAGTGAGCACAGGAGCTCCAGGTGTATTAAAAACAAACAAACAAACACAAACTTGAACAATGCTGCAGCAAGGCCAAACAGGCTCCAGCCACCCAGCCTGGAGTGGGTTAAGAAGCAGCTCTCCCTGCATAAGGCAGCTCATCACAGAGGCAAGGAAGCAGTCTCAGGTTTCGTAAGTGGATAGTCAAGAGCATGGATGAATACCTTCCCACTGACCTGCTACTAAGAGGTCACTTGAGTGTCCCTATGTATACTCATTTCTCAAACTTGGCCCATGATAGCATAGGAGCAAGCTTTCACATGAGTGAACACACAAAACTTCCAACTCCATTCAGGATCTTTTTCTGATGAACCACGACAGGAAGCTATGTTCTAGCTGTGCTCTCCACTTTTCTTTCTGTGGCTGCGGAGCTGAGAACTCGCTTGGATGGGAAGGAGCTGAGAGACAGGACTGAGAACTCCTAGGTGTGGCTCTGGGTGCAAAGCAGCTGGAAGGCCTCGACCACACCACCACCTGCCCTCGAGCTTGTCTGATGTTCTGCACAGTTGTGGAAGGGAAGCTCTGATGCAATGTTCGGAGCGGTATCACAGAGATGAAGGGAAGGGTGCTTCTTCCCTGGGCATTGCAGGTATCAGTGAGATAGCATTAAAGACAAACCCAAGGAGGAGCCGTCCCATTGCAGCTGCCTCGAGCACATCTCCAGCTGCCCTGCTTGGGAGCTACTGCCTCTCCTGGCATCAAAATGTGTGATCTCAGGAGACATACCGAGGTTTTCTAAACAAACCAATGAAACCTACGTGTAAAAAAAGTCATTTATCTCACACAGAGACAACTCCAGCAAGCATTTGTCCACAGCACATACCTCAAAAAGCATACTCTATTCATGCCTTAGCCCACTGTCTTGTTTGTCCTAGCAACAAAGACTACGAGAAGAAACTTTTCACTTCTAAAGATGACAGCTATCATAACCTATATTGTTAACATCCCCTGCCAGAATACAGGGCCACGCTGCAAACACACAACAGAAGTTTAAATCATAAATCCACTCCTAGAATCCTTTAAACGTAATGTTTAAGATTTTGAAAACTTTTTAAAGCAACAACAAAAAAAAAAAAAAAAAAAAAAAAAAAAGGAAACGAAGAAACGGTAAACCGTGAACATTTATTAATGTTACAATTACTTCTGCTAGGAAAACTACGCGACGGTCCTGCTCTGAAAACTGAACAGCTAAAGGGAAAGTTTCAGCTTACTGTACTTACGCAGGCTTCGGGGCCAACCTCTAGGTGCTGCTGCGGAGACCCCCTTCCCAAAGATTGCCTCCCCTCCCCTCCCCTCCCCTCCCCTCCCCTCCCCCTGACGGCACTGCACTGCGCAAAGCCATCGCAGACGCTCGCCGACCACATTTGCTACTGGAGAGCAACAACAACAAAAAACAAAACAAATACAAACAAACAAACAAACCCAAAAACTAACGTCCTTCGGGGAGCTAAATAATGCTATTTTACTTTTTAGTCCAAATTTTACTACAAAGAGGTTAGCTAAACGGAAGAAGATATGGGTGTTTTGTCAAAGCCTTCATGAAGTAGCAGAGACAGGTACTGGTCTGAGACCTCCGTCTCCAGGCCTCACTCTCTCTACAAGGACTACCAGAACCTAAGAGAAGTCCTAGGCGAGCTCGGGAACTGCGGGCGTCAGGGCGGGGTGGTTCTTTGGCTGTATTGGCAGCATCTGGTAAGTCAGCTCTCGCATCCGCGGGGCTGAAGAGATGGGAGTGTAGGGGGAGGAAGGAGGGAGCCTTAACGTTGGCATCCCATTAACCAGTGCACAACCGAGGCGCCCACGCCGCCGTGTCTGCGGGGACCCCGGGCGCCCCCAACAGCCTCAGGGTGCCGGGTAGGGGGCGCAGGGCCTTGCCGGGCGCTGAGGCCGGGGGCTGGCGTCTGCGTCGTGGGCAGCCCAGCGGAGCACCCAGCGAAGATGGGTGAGGCCCCTCGCCTGTACCTGCGATGGACCAGGTCCAGCGGTAGAACTCCACGGTGTCGTTGAGAGCCGTGGACACCGCGTTCAGGACGCTGCCGGGCTCCGAGTCCAGCAGCCCCATCGTGGCGCGGAGAGGTGCGAGCAGCGGGCGAGAGGAGAGGCCCCGGGGGACGGCGGGCGGCTGCGGCGAGGACCCTGCTGGCAGGCGGCGTCTCCTCCTCCTCCCGGCGCGCCGCGGATGGGGATGCGGGCGGCGAGCAGCGGCGAGCAGCCGAGACAAGAAGCCGGAGGGCGGAGGAGGAGGAGGAGGAGGAGGACCCGCCACGAGCGCCCAGCGCTGCTCCTCTCTGTCGCCGCGCGCTGCCGCAGCTCCAATCCCCTCGCCCGCATCACGTGGCCGCGCGGGGCGGGGCGGTGCCTCCTCTCGCCCCGGGCGCGGGGATGCTGCGGTCGCGAGTGGTGGCCGGCCTGCGCAGGCGCGCTAAGGCCTGCCCCCGGCCGCCACCTGGCCCACAGGAACGCCGGAGGGGGACACCTCGTGCCCAGTCCACCTCCCCGCGCCTGTGTCCTCCTTCCCTGCCCGCCTGCCCACGGTTACCTCTGCTCCGCCGGATGCAACGCGGGAGACCGGGAGGGGAAAAAAGGGGGAGGGGGGAGTTTGTGGACAAAGATGAAGTAGGGGAGGCGTTTCAGGTCCTGTCATTCACCTCCATTTCACTTGTGCTTTTTTGCTGTCTTCGCCTTTGGCACGTGTTTGTCGCCCAGACCAGGAAATGCAGGTGGCTTCGCTCTAAAGGAATGTCATTTGTCTTCTGCAGCGGCCAAGGCGAGCAATCTGGGGTCATCCCATAAATAACACTAGCGGGTAGTTAAATCCTTGCAAGTACTTGGAACAGTAGACTCAACACGCGCGGACCGGTCAAAGCGATGTAATTGTGCCAAGTATTAGGCTGCCGGTAGTTTAGAGACGGGGGCGCCGTAAGACTAGGTTAAAAAGTATGCTTGGACCCGAAGACCATCAGGTCAATCTGAAAGAATGGTGCTGAGGAGACAAAGGGCAATTGACTTGAAAGAAGAAAGGCATCCCTGTGAAAAGTAACCAAATAAAAATTTTTAACCCTATATTATTTTGATAGTTAGGGTTAGTGAGTGGTCCAATAACACTTTCATCTGCTCTTTAATTAGACGTGCTTTTCTTCACTTGCTGACTTAGAGTGTTTATTTTAAAGGTCACTGAGTCAAATGCCTGACACTGTTTGACGTGAGTAGTACCTGAGCCCTAACTCAGTGCTCTATATAGCAAGTCGTAAATATTTATGGTTGCAAAGTTATAGCTTACACCTTTCAGGGTGTAATAGGAGTTATTTAAGTAGAAAGAGAAAAGGTAATGAAAAGTCGTGGCTTTGTTGTATAACTGGGGCCACCCATAGCCTTCTTTAAGTGCTCTATTCTGAATCAACCAAACGATATATGATTTATTAATTTGTCAAATCTGCTTGGCAAACTTGTTTCTCAGGTTGATGAATTTCTCCTATCTCTATTCCTAGGTATGATTCTAGTAACTATAAAGAATTCTAGTCAAGTCCCATTTTATTTATTTATTTATTTATTTATTTATTTATTTATTTATTTATTTATTTATTTTTTGGGTAGCACAACTGTTAGTTTTTCATTTGCTTGTAGTATTGAATGCTGCCTCTCTATTGTCTTGGAGTCATGGGTATTTTTAGGGAGAACAGATTCTTACTTACCTTTACCTCACAAATCCTCACGGTCTTTGCTTATTTGATATAATGTGAAATTGTTAAAGCAGCTTTACTCAAGAGTTTCGTGGATGCCTCTCTCCTACGGTGGAGGCCAATTTAAGTTCCTTATTCACTAGGGGGCGCCTGTCTCACAAGGAAATCGTGGAAACGCCCTGATCAATGTCAAGGGCGAAGTAGCAACTATGCTTTATCACTTTGTCTGCCTTACTTCAGAGCAGTGTAATTTTTATTTATACTTATGAGCTGTTCAAGCATACTAGAAGAAACAACGTCTTAGGACGTATCCATCCTTGAGCTCTACTACCTAGAGTGAAGATTACAGTCATTACTTAATTCACACGTGGTTTACAGGTACCAATCATTGTACAGAACCAAAGCTTGCTGCTATGGTTTGAGTAGATCTCTCAAAGTTCACTCGTTGGGCCTTAAACCCCAATACAGCAAGGGAGAGAGGTGAAGCCTACAAGCAGTTGTGTGAGTCATGAAGGCTCCGCCTTCACGAATAGATTAAGTTACAAAGCATTTTAAATTGTGAGTTTGGTCTCTCACAGCAAACACTTCTTAGTTGTCTATTTAAAAAAAAAAAACTTTATTTTTATTTCATGTGTATTAGTGTTCTGCCTGCATGTATGTCTGTGTGAGGGTGTTGAATCCCCTAGAACCGGAGTTACAGACAGTTGTGAGCTGCCAGGTGGGACCTGGGAATTGAACCGGGTCTTCTGGAAGAGCAGCCAGTGTTCTTAACCAATGATCCATCTCTCCAGCCCTAGTTGTCTACTTTTTTTTTTAACATGGAATGATGTGTGCATGGGGGCTAGGGGTGGGCCTCATTGGTCCTTGATGGTAGGCTTCCTAGTTTTCAGATCTGTAATAAATAAATCTGTGTTCTCTACAAGTTATTCAGTCTTTGGTATTCTTTTATAGCAGCATGAAACAGACTAAGACAGAAAATAATGAGAACTGGGACTATGGTTATTTCAGATACTTGGAAATATGGAAATGGCTTTGGAGTAGGATAATGGGTAGAGACTAGAACTTCAAGGATTAGCTACAAAAAAATCTAGAATTCCCAGGAACAGTTAGAGCTGCTGTGATGCAGCAGAGAGAATTTGGGGAAGAATGGCTGAAATATCTTTATACCTAAATGGTCGCCAGCAGCAGAAATACAGACAACATAGGCCATTCTGATGACACCTCAGATGGAAATAAAGAGCAAAGCACTGGAAACCGAAGCTAAGTGAAATTGGCTAAATGTGCTCATGCCCAGGGATGTAGGGGGAGGACAGATTAGAAGTGATGAGCTGGGATATATGTATGGTAGAAGATATTTTAAATCAAAGGATGGTGGCAGTTTTTTTTTTTATTGTTTTTGTTAGATATTAGAGACCTAGACACTCTCCTGACTTAAAAACATATAATCATCCCAAAAGCTGCACATGACTCCATCTCAATTCCCACCGAGGCCTTCTGGGACTAGCACTTTTAGAAGGAACCTGGATCTGCCTGGAAGTCTGGTTCAAGGCTGTCTGTTTGTTTGTTTTGTTGTTTTGTTTTGGTTTTTGGACAGGTACAAGTAAATTTCCCAGGAGCAGCAAGAGCACACAGCTTTAAAAATTTTTTTGTTATTTATTCTCTGGTAAACCAAATTTCACTAGAGCAAGAGATACACTTGTGTGTCCAAAACAAAGAATGACACAGGGACATGGTGACTCCTGGCAGCAAACCAGACAAAAGGAAAGCAATCTGGAGAAAGGTAACTCTCTCATGATTGATTAACTCCCATGACTTAGTGGTATGACTTTATCAAATTACAAGCCTCATTTCTGCTAAGAATGTCAAACTCAGAATGCATCTGACAGTGTACTTTTAACTAAAGGAAAGTTGGATAAATAGAAGTGTATTTATCCTTCACACAGGTATTTGTAACAGTTTTACTTATAATCACTGCATGCTGCAAACAGCCAAAGTGCCCTTTAAGAGTTAAATAAATAAATACAGACTGCCACAAGAGAATGTAGTTATGTTACAAGATACTGAGAGCTACTATCAAGTGAAGGTTTCCCCTGGTTCTTCTTAAAAGAAAGAATTCAGAGAAGACACAGACAATTTCAGCAGCAGCTTATTTAACAAAGCAGGGCAAAGAGAATAGTAAATGCCATACAAAGATGAGAACAAACTGACCTCAAGCGCATTGTGAAATTTTAAGAAGAATTTTGTATGAGTATTTCTGAAGTGGGTAGCATATTTACTGGGGTAAGATGACCTTTTCCTCTTTGTCCAAATCATGGTGCATTATTATACTTTTAAGGTGAATCTTCCCATAATCCTCTTTAAATGCCACAGTGAGATAAGGATGCGAAACAACCATGTAAATATTATCATAATGTCAGGGTCTTTGGGAGATGCTAATTCTTCATTAGTGTGCATGTATGTCAAATTTGAAAGTTCCCGGTGCCTTCATTTTTACTATTTCAAGAAGAACCTAATTGCAGGTTCAAGGATATTTAGCCAGAATGAGGCATTCTGTTGATAGACACATCTGTCTAGATCCATCTGGAATTTCCTTTCATTCCTTCACATCTTAGTTAGTTAGTTAGTTAGTTAGTTAGTTAGTTAGTTAGTTAGTTAGTTAGTTAGTTATTTGTTTTTTCAAGAAAAGGTTTCTCTGTGTAGTCCTGCCTGTCCTGGAACTTGCTCAGGCTGTTCCTTGAACTCAGAGATCTGCCCGCCTCTGCCTCCTAAGTGCTACCAGATCCATATCTAATTTCTTATCTAACCGGAAACTTAGTCATCAATATACAACCTTTCTTGGTTATCTCATACCTAACTCCTTGTCTTCCTTATCTCAGAAGAACCTCACCGAATGGGGTCAGAGTATAATTTGCTGACCAAAATGAATATTCAGTCAGACTAAGGCAAATGGCCTTTGCCATCAGTTAGCCTGAACAAGCTGATGATAAGACCCTATTGATGCAAACAACACATACTTAATGTAATAGGACATGGAGAAAGCAAGCAGGCATTCCACCCCACCCCTACTGGCCAGCATTCACAGTGCTGGAAGACGCTACTCACAATAGCAGAGTAGAAAAGTGATCACCAATCTATGAGCCCTGTGAACTATGATAACAACCTGTCTGCAAGATATGTCCCCTGGCGTAATAATGGCAGGAAATGTTATTGGGGTAACAAGATAACTTCTAAAATTGGATTTAAAGCACCTGGATTTAAAGATACAACTCATACTTGACAATTTTAATGAGGCCAGAAACCTGAGACTAGATAGGTCATAAGCTGTAGGGGAATCCCTACTACAATTTTTTTTCTGATAAATGAACACAGTGATAAAACCACTCTTAACGATGTATTGCTATACCCATAGAAAAGTGCATTGATGAACCCTCCTCAGAAACACCTTTTTGTTCAGTAGACGTAATTAGTGTAGAGATCCATGAATAGGAAATGTGTAGAGGGTGAGAGATCTTGGATCACTCTGCCCTAAATTGGATATCTTTATCATCCCTCTTCCTTCAAAGCTCAAGAAAATAGAAAGATTGTAAGAGCCAGAGGTGGTAGACAACTTCAAGAAGGTTAAGAGTATGATCAAAATATAGTTTTTGAAAGTCTTATAAAATAAACAACAACAAAAAAGAACATTTTAA